ATAATAATCTATCCTATCCATGTAATTATGACAACATATAATATCTTGCTAAGGTACTTATGACGATGGGAGAACGGTGTTCCGTCTCTACAATTATTGCGCAAGCGGTAAAATAAAATCATGGCGGGTAAATAATGTTTCATAACTACCTACGGGAGAGGCTAGACGGCAAGCGGCAACCAGTCGAACCGGTCGGCCTCAGGCAGGTGCCGCGAGAGCTTCACACCTACCTGGCATTACGAGAGGTGACCCTGAACAACTGCACTCCAGCGTTCATAACCAATTATTCCAATGATTTAACTCGATTGCATTCGGCGATCGCCTCAAAGGTCACACTAATCGTCTATTGGAACGAAACAAGAGCAATTAAACAACTTGAGGATAATACGTAGATATTTGCGTGTAAATATGTACGATAATCTTGAATTTGTTTGTATTTTTTTTTTTTATTTAATTTCGAAAGGCTGTTAATACTTGTAAATATTACAAGTTAGTTTAAAAAATTTAGCTGTTCATCATTCCTTTTACATTGTAATATGTATTTACTGTCAAGGGTATTCTATATTACATTGGTGTTATGAATTATGTAAAATCTACTCAACAACAGTTAAATATATAGAAAACACTGCACGAGCGTAGGTTATACATAATTTAAATATACCAAGATGATATTTCCCCCGAGCTAGTCATTAAATATTCAATTCGACTCACAACAAGATATTAACATTAATTCTTATTCAGTCACATGTATTGTACGATATCACTTTGTTCTTTTGTTTCTGTAATCATTACACACATATAACGCAGTGGCTCTTTCATCTACGTTTCTAAAGATATTACCATTATTACAAACAGATGTTCAAAGTAGTTTCACAATTTAAGCATTGACGTCACAGTTCTCAGCATACACTATATAAGAAAGTAAACGGGGTCACATATTCAAGTAATACCTGCCACTTTAATATACCCACCGTCCTTGTGTTCTCTATAGACAAGGATTAGCTATAAACATGAAATTAATGGTTTGGGCGCGGAATATTTCATGTGATAAATGGATAAGTACATTATGTTGGTATTAATATATTCTTGTTTGATAGAAAGTCGTGCAAAACTGCAAGTATTAAAACCGGTTCGACAACCGTTGCATATAAAGTTGAACCATTTGCCGCCCATATAAGAACATTTAGTACACATTCTGATAACGTTTATGTTTAATATAATAATGTAGAATACTTTTATAAATTAACTGTAATAGTTTTATGAACACTACCAATTAGTTAATGTAATTACTCGTATATTAACAAGTACACACATATATCATGATTAATTTTGTTGTGTGTAATTATTCTTAAAATATTGAATACTCGATGTAGTTTAAAACTAGTAACTGAAAAAATAGTATGTGGAGCCTAGGAGAAATAAACATCGTTATTTATGATTGCGATACAAACAATAATAAATTGTTATGTAGATTAAATAGACAGAGACGTCAAAGACGAAAAAGAAATGACGACAAAGATAGACTAAATAAACGAGTTATGATCTTTAAGGTGAGAAGGCATAAATATAAAAATTCCGATAAATGGAAAAAGAATTAAGATAATACAGTTATTTTTGTTACATTGACTATAATTAATGGAAATAATTCTGTCAAGTTTAATCTCTGAGGTGTAGAATGTGGCATGAATATTAATTTTAAATAATAACATCTTGCTGGATCTAGAATGTAGTCATAAAAACATATTGCATATTTGATTCATTAAGATCTATCTTTGAAATAATGCTTATATACATAGCTTTGTGTTGTGATTAACTGAACAAATGTTAGTATTACTTTTCAATATTAACAGCTACGAATCAAATAAATTACTTAAAAACAAGCTTTTATTGCAAAATAATATTCATAAAAAAACTTTTTGGGATTCGGTGATTATATACAAAAATTTAAAAGAAATAATGTTATATAATTATTTATATCGGCTTTATTAAAGTATTCAGTTTCTAAGAAATCATGTTTATCCTAGGGTGAATAAAGCTGTTAGAGAAATGGCGGTTCCTCATTAATATTCACTACCATTACGGTTCGAGTATTATGTTTCCAAGAACCATCGTTAAATTTGTAATAAAACTCGTAATTGTGAATCAATTTAATAAATACATTGAATGCTCTGTATAGCATGGCGTCTAAGCATTCAGCTTTGGTATTTTGCCTCACAATTAAGTTAGAAGTTCGATTTTTCCTAGCGTTTATTACTAATAAGTATGCTTAATACGTATTAATATGTAGACTAGTCCTTCAATTAATACGACAACATAATTAAATCCACGAGTGAGTAATACAATTAGAAAGTTAACTTTCCATAAAAATATGAAATAAGAAAGTGAACTTATTATTATTATACCTATACATAGGGCGCTGAACCGCTAATGATGCGGGCTCATTAATGCACCCGTTCCACGGCCAGCCTTCTGACACAAGGAATGAGTAATTATAACGGTTGTAGAACGATAACTCGTTATTGTTCTGTTAACAGGCAAATAAATACAGGAAATATTCTGTAATATGGACTTGTGTTTCTATAAATAACTTTACTTAATTGAGTCATTTAATAATTGATGAAATAATCAGTTCAAATTCACAATATTTTTAGAATAATCACAATAAGTATTAAATTAAATCTTTTATGTTATTCTTTAAAAAATCACCCTAGTTAAACAGGTAATTTTAAAGAAAAGCTATAACTGTTCAAAGGGAGAAGTGGTTCAAATCTATTTAGAGGAATAATAGCCGCCCCGGACCCTTGTGTGCCCTCGTCCCCACGGTTGACGTTAACAAAGGACAGGTTCCCTTTACAAATCCCACATACATCACCTTATATTATTATTATCGTCCACATTTCTCTCGCAACGTCAAAAAAGGTAATCGTGCGATGTTTTAAAAACCGGTTTTGTTACGAGTCGTATTATGAAACGTGTTTGATAATTCATCTGAGCGAATTAGTTGCAGTATCGTTAGTCGTTCGACGCCGTACTTTCACCGACTGTACTTTCAGTAACTGGCAGACACGAACACGACCGTGTCCGCCCGTCTGACCTCTGCTGTCCACACCAATTGTTCATGAATACGGTTATGTTCATTTGACATACTTACGGACTATTTACACGATATCAATTGTTTAGACAACGCGCAAATCAATTTTAACGTTCCAATGAGGCTAACAAAGTTACTCTTCACATAATTCAAATATTGAATTTGTTCCAAACCGACTGATAAAGCTATCTGTCAATCAATCAATTATGCTATAGCAAGTATAGATGCATTAGAAATGAAAACTTTTATCAGCAGTAGTACTGTGCTTTTACATTAACAACATAACAACGTAGGGAAAGGGTTACGGGCTCATTAATGAAATATCATTAAAAGTTACCCGTATTATTGCCTCGTTTAATTAAAGATAATTATTGGTCTTTGCCGTTATCGTCGGCTATTTGCGGCAACCGTTCTTTTCTCGTTAATTACTGTTATAGACCTGTCGATACTATGACTACGTCATCATTATAAATATCTCGCTATCATGTCGATAGGCCGCAATAAATTCTCGCTGTGGCTTAATCATATCCGTCAGTAGCATATGAAACATTGTTAATAAATACATTAATATGGCTTGTTGACCATAATAACTGGTAATCGTAATCTAGAGATATCGAAACCGGTATTTTACTATAAAAATGGATTCGGGGCGAATGTTCACTTAATTACAGATTTAGATGAGATTATGCTGACGGAACCGGTTCTGGGTCGATTCGATAACATTTGACTTTTCTTAGAATGGATCTGCGGAATTCCTGTAGTTTCATTTAATGATAATCACTGTATTTACCGTAAAAGTAAAGTTAATGCTATAAACAAACACAGTCATAAGGCTTCGAATATAAAGGTCACCTTTCAAAGAGAACAAACAAACCTTCGCTCGATTTCCAGAAACTCACTGTTGTTATGTTTCACGGTGCGGTTCGCTTGGACCAAGGAAAATAAAGCAATAATAGCAGGCAAGTGAGGGTGGCACCTCGTGTGTGGTAGACTTTATGTCCGCAGGGAGAATGAAACGTGTTGTTCTAACCCATTCCAATCCAAACATATGACGGTACAAGCTAAACGAGAGTCGGAGTTGAAATGAAAACATGTATTCCATAACAAGAATACAATACATACCAATTAGACACGTACCGGTGCAGGGTATATAAAAACGCCCTCTTATTTACCATTAACAAGAAATACATGAATACAGATTTATGTAGAGTGATCTATCGAAAACGATGTGACCCCGTTACTCCTGATACCTGATTGAAATTTAGATTAAGCGATGATAATAACAAATGTTTTGTCGTCCGCTATGACCTCTGCTTTTTAAATCTGTATGGTGTGATGTATAAGCAGTCAGTCATAAATACGTAGATGAGGGCTTGATACTGGACAAACAAAGATTTGAATGTAAAATTAGAGACGATGATCTGGATTTTTTTACAACGTAAACAAGTTTAAGCAATGATGCATGTACCTACTGATGGGAAATAAAATAAAATTAACATAGATTGCCTGTAAATTCATGACACAGATAACACCGTTGAGATGCTTAAAATACTTTTCCAAGTTTGTACTTTTTAATCGCCGATACAAAAATCGAGATCAAGGGCTTTTTAAAATTTATAAATGATACATTATCGATATCATTTAAATTCTTTAATTTACTGTTGTTTTTACTTGTTTTATCTTAGATATTTCAAAATATTTCAATGTAAAGAAAGAGTTCTACATAATTTATTTAGAATTATCAAATAAAAAAAAATATATATAAAATAGTTGTGTTGAAGAAGTTGAAGTGCGTAATAGGTACAAATTTGGTATTAAAATTGAGAACGAACTGTATTGAATGTTCAATATAAATCAAACTGAATACATAAATTTCCAAGCCTTGGGCTGATATGTAAATATGTTTTACCTTTTTTGTTAATCTCGCCGGATTCACGTTCTGGAGATGAACCTGTAATAAAAAAATATATATATTAATTAAATTCATTAAATAAATAAAAATAAAGCATAATAACAATTGGTGTAAATGCAGATTAAGGTAATATTTTACACGTGCTTTAAAGTAATATTCGAATTCGCGGTATTTCCTTGCTTCTGTATGTTCTTTGTGTCTAAATTACGCAACATTTTTGCAAAATATAAACGAATTTTAATAACTGTGCTTATAGTTGACAGTGTTTTCTCTTGAGAGTGGCCCCTTATTAATTTTGTCAAGTTTGATATTATTTTACAGAGTAAATTTAAATTATGTTATGTGTAATAAAATTTCATTTGATCCTGTACGCAATAAGTAGGTCACTGGTGAAAAATTTGCCACAATTTCGTTGTAATATGCAGTTGGTCATAAAGTAGCACTGTGTCATATTAATACCTACTTTCTCATTAAAACCATCATAACTTTGTTCCATTATACAATAGAAGGTCGACTCAAAACTTAATTTCTAGATAATGTTATTTATATACAGGTAATTTCTTTACTCGAATGCTCTTAAAATAAAGATAATTTTATTACTTTTGAATATACCTTTTAATGTTATGAAAGTAAAAGAGTTGACAACTATCTTTTTATGTAACTTATAACAACAATTGTAATATTATTACGTAGTTACTGAACACTTACTCATTAATATTTGTGTAGGAAAAATGGTTCACATATCGATAATAACTACAAGCAATTATGACTCAAAATAAATTACGAACTGTGAATATGTAAACCTCTTTGTCGATTTAAAGGTCACATAAAGTATATATTCACTTGAATATTTATAAGGCATTATCTTAATAATAGCAGGTAACCGGTTGCAGTAACCGGTATCGGTGGGTAAAAAGCATGTGAAATAAATAACATTTTTTATTACGCTGACTTAAAATAACTAGTTATATTTACTTAATATGGGCATTTGGGAAGTAGTTTTTACTATAATATAATGTTTTCTCACATTATAATAGCTATTAATAATACTGCAATTATGTTCAACATAGAATTATTATTCTTAAACGTAATATAATTGTTATGATTATATAAACCGTGTACTGTCGGAGGATGGAGTTAAAAGTTATAATTTTGTAATTATAAATTACAAAATTTCTTACTGTGATATGAATACCTCTGATCACTTGCAATTAATTATACACTGCTGATATTGAGACAGCCCTAAAATATAATAATGACATAAAGAAAAGCCCTACGCCAGGTGATTATCATGCCTTTAATAAAAATGTACTACGAAATTTTATAATGTCTGCCTCCTATAAGCAGTACATTAGTGGTCGCATTCGGCAGGTGAAACTGGCGACTAGTCTGCTGCCCACATGTTCCTTGCAGCTGGTGAAGGTTGAATAACCCTTGTGCAGGCAACTAATGGAATTGAATCAGAATTACACGCAGTAAACGATCTGTGTGGCCAGTGATATTTTAGTAATCTTTATAAGCCATTTATAATTATATGCGTTTAGTAATTATTATTAAATATATATTGTTTTTGTTGAAGTTTACTAATCTAAATAACATCATCGACTTTATACAAAAGTGTGTAAACCATAGTACTTAAATACACTACAATGAACATAATAATATTATGACAAAAATATAACTAAATTAAAAAATAAAAATAACATGAAATTAATGTAAAATTGTTTATAAAATATATTCAATAAACCACTTTTCCATATCCTTATGTGTGTCATTATACCTTATCGGCTTAACGAAATCAACCTCGAAGCAGTTAATTTTTTTTTATACGTTTCGCATCATAACTACTGACCGACCGTATTGGGTAGCTGGTTCTACACAGCTCTCTGTAATCAATACATCAAAAAACTTGCTAACCATAATTGTCAAGTGGGTGTAAAACGAGAAACAGCTGTACAGTCGTATGACTCGCTTGGCATTTTATCGGAACCTGTTTAAGTTATGCAACAGATTAAAAATATCAACATTATGCTGGCTACATTAAAGTACACTTGTCAAAAAAGGTATTAAATGCACAAATAACCCTATTTAAATATCCTTGCCATCCAGCAAGGTATGTTTTTTTATGTATTTACAAATTTATATTATAAATAAAAATACTTATGTTGCAATATGTTCACGATTATAATTCCAGATGATACGAGATAATACTAAATTTATCTAAAGATACAGTTTTCTATAAATCTTAGCATCGTAATATTACCCTGGATCAAAATTTAAGAGTGATGTAAACTTCACTGTTAATTTTCTAAATACGATTAGAATTTCAATAACAGTATTTATTGATATTAGATTTGATTTTATTTAATTAAAATTGTTTTTTGTTTCAACATTGAATCAAAATTTAAAATGATCATTTAGTTTTATTATTTCCGTCGTTAACTGTCCACTGCTGGACATAAGCCTTCCCCATAAGGAGAGCTTTGCCAGTAGTCGCTACGTATGCGGGTTGGCAACCGCAGTTAGGCTTTTAGAGATATTTTAAAACAGACGCTGCTGCCTATCCCTCATGATCATTTAGTATAACTTTTCAATAACGAAACCATATTCAATAGAAACTCTACTAGCTACATTTCGAACTGCTATTAGAATTAACAAATACCAATGGTTATACGGATTCCATTTGTATATTAAATTAATACTAACTGCAATACAAATTATAATCTATTGAGACAAATTGCGACTGATTACTGCGGAGAACGGGCGCATCCAATCTCTATATTGCCTGTCGTATCCAATCAACAGAAGCAATCATTATAATCAGTCTAATAGTTACATCATACAGTTTCATTAATCAATTACAGATAATCGCTAAAATTGGGGTCATTATGGATGACATTTTTACAAAATGGTTGCTGTGCCCACAGTGTCATTGGTATGAACCGATTCACTGTAAACTATTCCATTATTAAAAATAAGGATATTACGGTTTATGTGCTCTAAATGTTATTTAAATCAATTCAGTATAATCGAGACAAACATATTAAAAATCAGTTTTTTGTATCTGAAAGTAAATTATTAAAATAATCAAATACATTATTCGAACGTATCTATTCAGTTCAAATTCAACGTGGCGAGGGACAAAAAGATTACGTATTTATGTACTAATACAAAGCAGACATTATACTTTAATGAGCTTACGGTACTTTTCGATACTGGAGTTTTAAAATTCATAAGGTTTTTGATGTCATCCGGTTTCTTGGCCTTTACTTTGTGGGTCTTATAAGTCAGGGTAGTAAACCACTAGATTAAACCGTATTCAAAACTTTTTAATAAGAAATTGTCAGAATCTAGGGAAAACATAAATTATATCTACTGCGTTCATTGCACTATTACGCACGAATGTGGCCATACTAGCAAACAGAATGGCTAAAGCTACAAAAAACACATGCCATTCTCCCTTAATGGCTTTAAGCCAGTTCCTTTCTTAGCAAGCGAAATATGTCGACCGACCAGTTCGCCGACCAGTCTCAACTCAACGTGAGAAATGAGGACTTGGACTGGCTGGCACCATGTGTCGATGTCCAATTACATGTCCGAATGAACGAATGAAGGACATTCTTCCTGATCGGCTTATTTCGATTGCCTGTTATATCCATATTGGTGTTAAATGTAGAAAATTAATCATGATACATCTACAGTTATAAAATTCTATTATCAAATACAACAAGTACATGTAAAATTAGTATACTCTATATCAATTTTCTGTTCTAATTCCAATACAATAAAAATATTATAAATAATCACTAAAATTCTTTTTATAACATACTAAAACGATTATTATCACATGATAATCTTCTTATCTGTGACTCAAGCTTCAATATTAGATAGCAAAATGATATTTGGACACTACAGAATGAATTAGAGAATAGTTGAATTAATAAAATAAAAATACTGAAATTAAGAAAAAGAAACAATTATTTACAATATCACATGCCATTATAGTGAATACAATAATTTAATGTACCATCAGTCGTACAATTGTAGTATCTTGTTCTCGTCAGCTTTCTAATAGAGATAAACAAGAACCAGTCTCATGTATAACTATTGCTCGTTAACAGGCAGGATATCGGCCGGGCCAACCGGTCCTCCGAAGCCTATTGAATTTATGTGTAGAACTAAACGAGATACACTAACATGTTGAAAATCTCGTGTTACTAGAGTGTATGTAACCGGAATACATTCTCGAGATACCAAACCAATACTGCATCGTATAAAACCGGAACAATTTTAAGCCAAGTAGCTTATTTACCGGGGAATATAAAAATATGGCGTCTGTATTTCATCGTCATCTCTCCCGTCGTGTTTACCGTAAATTAGAATAAGCCCGCACTTGGCAAACGTTCCTTGTTTTAAAACAAACAAATAATAAGTAAGAACGGTACGCGGCTTGATACGAGTATGTTGTTTAAAAATAGATGTGTTTTCATAAACCCAATATGAGAGTTTACGCAGAGCTAGTCCCGAGAATGAGGTCGAACGAGTTGGCATGCAAAGCTCTGTCGGTCTAGTCGAATATAAAAACGGGCAATAAAAAATACGTTGGCATGTTAACCAAACACAGAATGATAATTTGACTGATATTGTTAAGAAGTTTTAAAAAGAGGAGATTCTTGACGATTTATTCGCAGCTCAAAATACTCTTATATTTAATGATATATTTAATAAAAAGGCGTTTGTATTTAGAAATGTTTAATTATCCTTATCTAATTTAAATATTTTTAAAACTTTTAATCATTATTATTAAAAAAAAACTGAATGCTTTTCATCAATCTTCCAAATTGTGAGACTGATTGATGATTGTCTGTCAACACCAAAAATTCTCTGTGGTAAACAAATAAGATTTCACTAACAGCTCATTGAAGTTTTACGTGTACAGTTTTATAGTAACATCAGTACCTATAGTATCTGTTCAACGCACAGCTTTATTACATCCGTAACTACATTGAATAAAACTGTTTATAAATCATTCAGGCCGTGTTGCAGACTTGCAGCTCTCGCTTTATAAATCACGCGAACACCAAATACAAGCGAAAACAACAACATTATGTTTCAAGGAAAATGTTATTAACGTGGGAGTTTATAATCGTACCTGCCTACAAATATGGTGATGCCTTATTTGTGCCATCAATGCAAACACTTTGATACACGTCTTATCTCCATGGAATTTAGTACTTACATTTTCTTTCCGGTACGACCTCGTTCAAGGTCAGGTAATTCATACGTATGGGGAAGTGTATGATGTGTATGCTAATTTCATGGCTGTTTATTTATAACATGTGAAATAAAAGTTTATAAGAAACAAAATCTAATCTATTATCTTAGTGTTACAATGCGAAAGACATTTTGTACTCATTAAATATATATGAGATAACAAAACAGAAACCTTCACAGACGATATGGCAAAGGAGGAAGCGGTTCGAAACCATAACGAATTAAACTTTTTAATAGTAATAAAAAATAGAGCAAAACATCAATCGATTGTATAGCAACCGCGTCTAGATAATCACACGAAAACTACATCTGCAAGACTACGGGTAGAAATGATAAGAATCTTCGATAATGGATTAACGTTTATATCATATCTGGCATCATAAAATACGATGTAACTTTTCTTGCTCTTAGATATTTTACTAAAATAGCTATATTTTATTAAAATGTATTATCAGTCAAATTAATAATGTACACAAATTATATTTTGAATTAAATCTATTGTTATTAGAGATGGGCAATCCACCTGGGTGGGTTTAAAGTCTGGTGGGTAAAAACCGGGTGTTTTGGGTTTATTGGGTTTAAACTCCATAAACACCCAAATTTTTGGGTGTTTATGATTTTGTACTTCATCATCGTCATCTCAGCCGCAAGACGTCCACTATACTGGACATAGACAATATTATTATGCAGCCTACAGAATAAAAAACTTTTAATTTGATTTTGAGTTTATTAAGAAAGAGATGAAAGTAAAATGTAAAACTACAGTCAATCACTGTCAGATTCAGAGTTATTACAAGCGATGAATTGTATAGGTTCGATAGGCTCTATTTCGTCTAAACTGTTATGTTCATTTACTTGCTCAATGAAAGCTTCTAAGGTATTTTCTTCATTAAACTGAATGTCCTCGCATTCAGCTTTATGTTTAAGATTCCAGTTATAACAAATGAATGAAATTTTTTCAGTTCTTTCAGTTGTAAGTCGATTTCTTTTGTTATTATGTATGTAGCCTTGGATACTAAAGGAACGCTCAGTGGCTGCCGAAGTACAGGGAGCTGATAGAATACGAATCGCTACTTTGCTTAACTCAGTGGAACCACAAATACCTTTCCACCATATTAGGGGCTCAATGCTATCTAATGAGCTCCATACAAATCCTCTGGCCCAAAAGTTTTCTTTAGCTTTATAACACGCCAAATCTGCCATTACATTTGACAAACTTAAGTGTTGGCTTAAATTGTAGATAAACTCCATACCCTTAAGTTCTTCCTCTTGAGTAAGTTCGACTCCTAGAGTCCTGGGGTCTAGAATATATGCTGCAAAATGTATTGGCCTCATTGCCATATTGCATCTTGAAGATACTGATGTTAG